CTACCATATAATGATTCTATATTTAAAAAAAGCCTTTTATTTGATGTTATTCTGTGTACGTTTATGACAATCATCGGTATTTTTCATGTGAATAATGTTCATCATTATGTATTCAATTTTTTGGAGAATGAGTGAAATCAGATCTAAATTAGAAATATTAATTAGATTTACTACCATTGTATCAGTGTAGTCACCTACATCACAATGAAATGAGCAAAGTTACATGTTCTAAAAATACCTTTACTCTAAAAGCACTTTAATCATTTTTTTCTATATCCTGCATTTAAGTGATAATAATATTTGATTACACATTTTTCCCTTCTTGTTCGTTCCTTTTTTCATAGGAGTAGCAGCCCTGTGACTCAATGTTAGAACCTTGATATTTTTTCGGTCATGCGTCTTATCAGGCCTGAAATTCCGAAAGTAACGGCAATTAACTTGTAACATTTGACTCAGACGCTGAGGATGAGAGATCGAGGGAGTGAAATTCCAAACCAGATCCTGACTTTGAAAACTATTTCGACAAATGAGATTTTTTTTTTTTTTTTTTTTAAGCAATTACTGCCATATAAGGGTTGAGTGCGTATGCCGTTATCATGGGATTTCTGAAGTAAAGATTAATAGATAGGTAGATAGAGAGATAAATAGCAGAGAGATGAGAGAGAGAGAGAGAGAGAGAGAGAGAGAGAGAGAGACAGAGAGAAGCAGACAGACACAGAAGCAGAATTGAAGTAGAAATAAATAAATGAATAAATAAAGATAATTCTAAAATAACGTACTTCATAATTCCCGTAACCTACCAGCTTCACAAGTCATTTCAAAAGGCTGATGAAGTAGCTAAAAATAGACCAAGCAGTCTATCTTCAATCACGTGTTTGACATTTTTATGACAGGTAAGGTTATATGTCACCTATCATGTTAGTGACAGTATTCAGTGAATTTTCTGAATACCACCGCGATGTGCGCTGAAGATGCCAATTGAAGATTAGCACCTGTGGGAGATCAGCAACTGTAATTGTATTTCCTGTACAATATCTCTCGATTGTTTGGGCTGTCTTGGTGTATTATGAATGCCCAGGTAATTGATGTTTGTGTTATCATTGTTGTTAATCGTCGTTATCAGTAGCTTATGCTTATCCATTTTTTTTTAGATACTGTTCTCAAATACAGAATTATTATAATTACCATTCATCGTCATCATCATTACTAATAATCATGGTAATCACCATTGTTATTGTTAACTACTGCAACGTCTACAGTTATATGTATTGCAGTTTCTTCTTATCAAAATATGATAAAATTATTTCCGTGTCTACGATGTGGCTGGCTGGGGGACACGGGGAAAATGCAGTCTGTTTGGCCGCTGGGTTTGAAAGTGTCCCTTGGTCTCAATTTACAACCACTGATGCCACATTCTCTCTCTCTCTCTCTCTCTCTCTCTCTCTCTCTCTCTCTCTCTCTCTCTCTCTCTCTCTCTCTCTCTCTCTCTCTCTCTCTCTCTCTCTCTCTCTCTCTCTCTCTCTCTCTCGCTCTGTCTGTCTGTCTGTCTGTCTGTCTGTCTGTCTGTCTCTCTCTGTCTGTCTCTCTCTCTCTCTCTGTCTTCTGTCTCTCTCTGTCTGTCTGTCTTCTCTGTCTCTGTCTGTCTGTCTCTGTCTGTCTGTCTCTGTCTGTCTGTCTGTCTGTCTGTCTGTCTGTCTGTCTGTCTCTCTCTCTCTCTCTCTCTCTCTCTCTCTCTCTCTCTCTCTCTCTCTCTCTCTCTCTCTCTCTCTCTCTCTCTCTCTCTCTCTCTCTCTCTCTCTTTCATTATATGTCTATATGTCTCTGTCTCTAACGCTGCCTTTCTGCCAGCCTGATGTCATAATACAATTTATCATTAACTGTCTCCGTATAACGCTTTGTGGTAGACCAATTCACAAATTGTCATATCTATACATAGAGTAAAACATGCTAATTAGTCTACTACGGAACGGGATATGTAGACAGAGTAAGAGAGAGCATAGAGTTCAGCTTAAAGACAAATTCTATTATTCAGATTCAGGTGTGTGTGTGTGTGCTTGCGTGGACGCGTCATTCGCTCTGACGGTCGGTGGTCTGGCTCATTTTATCTTGGAATTCAGTAGTTGCTCACGGTTTACAATATGAGGATAAGTCGGATATTCAGTATTTACCGTAGCACCGACAGAATCTTTAGAAATATAATGGAAATGTCATTCCCCCAAAATAATAGGATAATGGGAATCATAAAGTTGTAAACGTTTTTGAAGCTTATATGTGTTTATTGCATGAGAGTCGAAACAGAACCTAAGTCAATATTATCATCGCTTATCCTTTGGTTGTCACTGGGTACACCAGTTGGTTGGCTATAAAATTATGAAAATTTCTTGTCTGACTTGTAATAAAGGGGGAGCTGATGCTAATGCTTTAAATATTTTTATCATTATGAGTATGTTTGCCACTGTTACCTGTTAGATTATTAGTTTCCATCTTCATTATGATCTGTTTTCATCATTCTCCCCAATTTTTTATTTCGTGCAAATGCATGGGAGATGAGAATAAGATGTGTTTAGATAATTAAAAAAAAGATGTATGGTATACCATACCTTCATACTAACCATGGTAGAAATTTGCTTTGTAGATACCATAAATTATGATGCATATACAACTTTCTTCATATACTGATCCTTTGATAACTTTTCATGATTATTCTACTAGAGTTTTCGAGGCAATCAACAGCCTGTATTATTTTCTAAAAGTATGGAAAGAATGCCCTCGGGATGGTCATAAGCATTTTGACAAGAATTATTTGCCTGTGAAATTATGATCATCATAAAGGAAAATTATGTGATATATTTTGTTACCATTAACCTCACCATTTAAAATATAATAAGTAAAATAAACTCTGTGTACAGCCACACATCACACATTTCTAAAACATAATCCAGGAAAGCCAGCTATGAGCCTTTATTGGTTGTTAAGAAGGTAGCTGAAACAAAAATTGGCCAGTGAAGCATTTTGAGTTTAACACCCCTGAAATATGGCTTAACTATCAATACCTATCAATATATCAGAATCCTTAAAGAGCATTGTAAAGCATTTCAATTGCCATTATGTTTAAGCACTTTTAAGTAATGTATTAACACATTTCCTTGCATTTTATTATTTAATATAACTGTCCCCATGTTTTTGTATATTAAACATATGAATTCAAAATATTCCCTTCCTTTCTAGCTAGTTTATGAAAAACAGCAACCCCCATATTTAATATTATTTAATTTGTCTTCGTGTCCCTGATTTCCCCTTTCCTTAAGTTTTCGGGAAAAATATTTTTCTCTAGAGGCTATTAGTACCCATGTTATTATCATTGTTGTTGACATTATGATCATTATAATTTTATTAAAAATACTAACAGCAATAAAAAATAAAAAATAATCTTTCCAAAAAACAAGGAAAAGGGTAAACAGTTGAACTAAGTACGAAGAGTAAATGACTCCTTGGTGATTAGGAACTTGCTGAGCCATCTTTGCGTAAAGAAAACCAATAAACGAGGACACAGTAGACATGGCACATATTGTAACCATCCCAGCAACAGTGGGTTAAAATCAGTTTCAAATAAGGGGGAAAGGAAATAATGAAACAGTCTTCCATTGCAATTTTGTATTGCGTTATTGGTGTCATGGTGTCACTTTCAACATAAACATGGATGGTAACACATATAATATGCTTACAAGTCTGTTAATATGCAACATTTTAAAATTGTTTCCAAGCCTTTACTTAGCATAAAGAAGTCACTTAAAAAGTAAATATTGCCTAACTAGGAAGTATATAATTCATATCTGGTATTCTCACATCACTGAGCAAATCAAATATAAAAGAAATATACGTCCAGTGAGCACTTAGTCAGAACATAAAACCAAAAAGCACTTTCTTTTTTGGAGGGAAGCTAATACTGGCTACAGACATTTATTTCACTGCCTTCGAAAAGTACCGTAAAAATAGGCTTATATACCATTTCCCAATTAGGCACTGGTTGAGATATTTGGTTAATTCAGCTAAGGAAAAAAAAATAAAAATAAAAAGTGTCTGAATACAGTTTTAAAAGAACCATGCACAAGACTTACAGTCTAATGAGTAAGATACAGATGACTTGTTTACAGAGATGAAATAAAACTATATAGAATTATCTATTTTGGTACACAAAGACCTGTATGATAGTGGTCAACATGGTTAAACTGTGTAAATTCAATTGTGCAACATCCGTCTATTCATCACACAATCTGCGATGATACTGATATCTATATCAATTATTCTATTGTATAAAAGTTTCATATTACATAGATTAGCCATGTTAGAAAATATATGAGCTTTGTTTACATCATGTAAATCCACTTAGTGCACCAAATCTTTATGTGAAATATGATAATAATAATAATAATAATAATAATAATAATAATAATAATAATAATATTAGAATTACATAATGTAAGAAAATACAAATGAAAATAACCAATGTACACTTTCTTATTATTAATAATTAGCTACAAAGCACCGATATCTGTAATTAATAATAATGACAATAATAACAAATAACAGGCACAATAATGACAATGAAAAATAATCAACAATAATAATTATCATCATCATCATAATAATAATAATAATAATAATAATAATAATAATAATAACAACAGTATAGACATAATAATAGAAATAAAAATTATAGTAATAATAATAGCAATAACAATGTCAGGTTTCAAAAATCTGTTGGTACTATCTTAATGTTTCAACAATTCCTAGTTATCTAAAAACAAGATGTATATGGTGGGTTGCTAACAATTAAAAATAATGACTAATGTTTAAAGTATATGATATAACAAAGAAAATGTTGAAACACTGGAAGATACTACTAATATTGTACCTTGAATCTTTATAATGCAAAATACAGCATGTCATACACTTCTTGTAAAACCACACATTGTATTTTCATTATTAATTTCATATTGTTTGAGATTCCATGAAATACTGATACATATACTTGAACACCTTTGAAAGCTTACTGAAGACTCATACATGGCGTTAGTGTCGCTTTAGTTTCAAAAGAGAAACGCTCTACTTCTTAAAGGTTTTAATGCAATTCCCAATACTTCAAATTCATAAATCTTTTTATGTTAATGATGCACACATATTAATATTTTGTGAATGGTTCAGTAATGAGAACAATCCCCTATGCATATAGTAACATTCTAATTAATCTAATTAATAAATATCAAATCCTCTGCTTTTCTTTATTGTATAACAGTCAAAACCTTTTCTTGAAGTTCTGAAGAATTTACAACCCAAAAGTCATTGTTACTGCCATTTAAATAGTAGAGTGACTGAAGTTTATAGCTAAACAACACAAAATATATGGAGTCTTTTAAATGCAATGACATTATCCTAAACCAATAAATATAATAAAAAAAAAAAAAAAAAAAAAAAAAAAAAAAAAAAAAATCTTTTCTGGGTTTAGCATCAATGCAAATAAATGCATTGGACATGTAAGATACAAATATAAAATACCTAATAAATTTGAGAATAAAGTCTTCTCAACCTATATCAACATAACTGCTCTTCAACTAATGCTAAGATGACACTGCCATGAATAAAAAAATAACTCCTTATATGGTCTGGATTTCATATAACAAATGACAGTCTTGAAAATGAGATAAAAGATGAGGTACCGTACTTCCTATTTCTGCTTTAATCTAATGGAACATACTGTATAAGATTCAGAATTACGTTACCAACGAAATCATGTCTTGAGAGCAACAAAACTTTGGCAACTACTTCCTATTTCACAAATAGATTCGAAACTCCTCTTTGCACAATATTCTTTAATATATGTGACAGTAAGTAATAGCAAAGGCAAAATAAGGGTAAACTTTCCTTTCCTATTCTGATGAGCATATCCATTCAAAATCAACTCATCTGCAAGGCACTTCATATACAAGCATGGAAGAATAAGTAATACCAACATGATTACCTAATCTAAAATATTTCTTCCTTCTTCATTCCATGTATTAAAAGAGATCTGATACTTTATAAAATTTGTGTCTAAAGAAAGTGAAATGTCTATAAACTATCAATACTTGTTTGGGACCCTAATTTGTAACTTCTTTTTACATCCAACATGTAATAATGAAATAAGATTTAGAAAACAGTTGAACTTCACTGTTAATTCTCCATGAAAATCATTACTACCAGCAGGCTACTGCTGTAGATTTTAGTTACTATCTTCTTCCTATTAAAATAAGTAATCTACATCTAATATGATGTTGCGGTACAAATTTTTGTTTCTGGATACATACATTAGAAAATTCATTATGGCAATCCTTATTCATAAAGTGAAGCCATTCACATCACACATTTTCTAATATCTTACTATTGCAAGGCTATTGCACATTGCAGAATAACCAAAAAACTATCAATGATACCAATGCATGAATGTGTGTAAAACATCATAATCCTTCTAACTTTTCATTTCAAACTGAAAATATAAAATATGCAGAATGAGAAAAATAAATATACTATACATATATATATCTCTATATATATCTGCTCTGTCTGCTACTGACTGTCACATAATAACCACCATTAACAGTGAGATGTGTGGAAGGTTAAAATGCTGGTTTCTATCCTCTTTTGTATTTGCCCAGGAAAGCTTGGCAGTTGGGGCAATTATGCTCGACATTCATGCACTCGTTAATACAGCAGGGAATAAGGCAGCAACCAAGCCAGCACCTGTGGGAGGGAAAAAAAGAGAGAGAAAAAAAATATATTATCAAAATTAATGATGTTCTTTGGTGGGATAAGAAATATTTGGCCAGAAACATACACAAAGGTTAAAGTGGTGAAAAACAAGGAGGTGCAGGTAAGCCAGCTATAAAAGTACAGGTTAGCAACCAGGAAAATCATGAATGCGCATGAAATCACTCACAGGATGTAAATTTATGTATTATGAAAACTCTTATAAAAAAACTACCAGGTAAGGGGTGAAAATACATATCAATAGTCCTGGGTAACCGTCCTTTATATAAAATGCAAAATAATCTACTTTAATCAATCTACTGCATTATACAAATGCCCATCCTCACACATATCAAACTATAAGACACTCCCATTTGAATAGAATAAAAAAAATAAATCTGAACTTACCCTAGGATGCAAATAATGCACCCAGACAACCATGCTACCACGGACGGAGAGGTTTTGGTGGCAGTGTCTATCTCGGAATGGCAATGTGGACAGATCATGTGCGTTGACTGCGATCCCAGAGGAACCACTGTTGTCACAATAGCAGTTGGGGCAGCTACTTGGAAAAGAAAACTTAATGTTAGGTCTGAATAAGAAAAAGACAATCATTATTGTAACTTCAGTTGAAAAGGGATGAGTAAATAACTAAATACACACCCACACACATATTGATACATACTGCCATATCACATACCGAGACTAACTAATGCAGATTGGCAAACTTTAAGAAATGGATAGATACATCAATATGTAGGGAGACACAAAAAAACAGATACATTAAAATGCAGATAGTTACATGTGAAATATATATATATATATATATATATATATATATATATATATATATATATTATATATATTATATATATATATATATATTAATATACGTATTATATACATCTCATAAAAAAATTGACAGTAGAAAATATGTTATTTACTAATTAATGAATCACTTATTTCCAATATATTTACAAAGTACTGCCCAAAAAGATACCCTATTTTACCCTTCTGTTCTGAAAATATCTCTGAATGAGAGTGCATTCTTTGAACTGAATAAATGGGAATTGCCTTCATTCATTGTTCTAAAGAAATCTTCCATATATAAAAGATCTAACAAAAGAGGATGAAGACTCCATTCCCCTCTCTGCACAGAGTAGAATTAATGATGAATATGATGGTAATATCGAAACTTGACACTGATGGTCAAGAAAGAGCACATATAAAAAGAACTCGTCAATAATCCATACACTACTTCAAGCACTGTTTATATTGAAGCAAGAAGGTCTAGCTAGCCCCCCTAAGGGCCACACCCTAAATTACACCTTTATAGCTCTGGTTGTAGTTTAAAATTGCTTCTAGAATAGTTAAGTTTTAAAAATTTTCTCAGGGGGGTATGCAGCATCTCAAAACCTGATTTTGCTTGCTTCACTCACCAGCCTTCCCCCTACACAGAAAAAGCTGAAATGATGTGCTTGATAACACAGAAAAAGCTGAAATGATGCCCTTGATATTAACAAGTCTCCTTACTGATCACATCACAAACAATAGCATATAAGACATATATCATGAAACATCATACTGAATAGACTTTTCCTGGAAATAGATAAAATCAATTAAAAAATAGCATATACTTTATAGCACTAGTGCATACAGAACATACTACAGATGCATAGAATGACCAAAAAACTAGCAGCACAGCACAACCAAGCATATATCATCCAATTTGGTGCAATTTGGAGTGGAATACAGAGATCAAAATAAAAAAAAAAAAAAAAAAAAAAAAAAAAAAAATCATCAAATATAATCCTGGAAAAAAGACAAAGACAAAACAAAAATGAGGGAAAGGAAAGAAAGAAAGACATAAAATAAGGGAAAAATAACTGTGCACTTCTTTTTAAGTGAATTTGCTCATGCTTCAATATCTACACCTTTCTATTGCTCTTTTTCATCAGTGCTGTGAACTTCCATCTCGGATATTTATGAAGAAACAAAATTTGTACATGAAACTCAATTCTTAAATATAAATTAAACATTATTGATAGGTAGGTTCATGCAGACAGTAAACAACCTAATAACACAAAGAAAAAGAAGAGATAAAGTAGTATGTAAAATGATAGCCTATATAAATATAAAAGAAATAGAAGAAGAAGAAGAAGAAGAAGAAGAAAAAGAAGAAGAAAAAAAAAGGATGATTGATGAGTAAATATATATAACACGAATATAATCCCATTTCCCCCTTTAGGGAAAATTATAAAGGGAATGCCATTTTAATAGCGCAACACTATCTTTAAATTGGCTGAATACACCAAGAGTAATTACTTCTATAACTTCTGCGAATTCAAAAAGATGCTGATTATGACAACAAAAATGGTAGTGGTGATGAAAATGAAAAAGTAGTAATGCCAATAAAGATGAAAATCTCAAAAACGACAATGACTATGGTGATAATAATAATGATAGGAACAACACTAACTATAAGCGCTAATAATAATAATGATGATAATAACATTAAGTATAATAACAATAACAATAAAAATAATAACAGTAATAATACCAACAATGATAATGAGGATAACAAATCTCTCACAAAGCAAGTGCTTCACAATACACTACAACATTTCAGGCAAGCAGCAACAAATTATCCAGAGAAGAATTTGGTCTCATACGACGCAACACACCATTTCCAAAGGGAGGATACGCAGTGGACGTAACTTGTGCACCGTACTGAACCCCCTGAACTTCTACCCTTTGTGGGGGCACATACAAAGGAGCCATGGGGACGGCACCAGCTGCGGAGGGGAAGTAGGAAGGAAAAGAAGAGAAAAGAAATGGTTCAGTCTTGGCTGGAAATCGTTCGCACACGATTGGTTAATCCTACCATCATAATTCTTTCTAAGAAAATATAATTTGGTTATTCAAACTTTTTGTAACCTTAGAAAAAGGGTCTTGTAATTCTACTGACAAAAAATATAACATCAATTCAGATGTAAAGTAAAGAGATTCCCCCATTTCCTTTTCTTTCTATCTTTTATCCTTATTATTAACCCCAATTTCTGATGGGATAATATCCTATCATGTCATGGCAGACTATCCCTCATGCTGGGATGAGTGCCTGCTCCAAGTTGTGCACACTAAACAGTAGTGTGCTTATCTAGCCCTGGCTGAGAAGAAACAGCCTCTTGAAAGCAGACTTAAAGTGTCTTTTTTCCTCATTATCTAAAAAATTGTTTATGCTGTAGGCTTGCACACAGAGAGTGGAGTAATTGTTTGTTTCCTACATTTCTAGTTTTTATTTTGAGCAGGCAACTCCACTCTTACCACATTGCATGGTTTGGTATACTGCCGGGGGCTCCTGTCATGAGTGTGTTGATTACAAGACCCTTCAAATCTTTAAATAAAAGAAGGCATTACATTTTTTTTTTTTTTTTTTTTTTTGCTACTTTTCAAAATAACCTTTATTACAAATAGGGATTGCATAAATCATCATAATAATATAAAAATGTAAAAAAAAAAAAAAAAAAAAAATAATAATAATAATAATGATAATTTTGTAAATTGGCTTTTCTATATTTTGACACAACGTGGGGGATAAATGGTCATCATATCAAACATGAATCGTTATCATTTCTTCAATTTAGTGCAATAAATTTTTCAAAGTGCCCTTCACTTTTCGTCTTCTGCCTCTACAGCTCAGGCGTAGGGGGGTATTCACGATACTGATAAGCAAGGTGAATGGATAGGGGTTAGAGGAGAAAATGAGCATCCCAGCAAATTCGTAGAAAATGGGATTTAATGTTTGCATCCCTTCATCGACTATGGATGAAAGCTATTTACCATGATGATAGTCAGATGTTTTTCTGGATGCAAAATTCTCCCATCTGGTGTATTCTACTATAGGACTGATTTACTAGATATATAAGATTTAAAATCAATATTCATTAATTAGATCAGAAAGAGAGAGAAATGAGAAATTTAAGTGCTCAGGAGGGAAGATGATACTCCATAGACCATAGACACTACCTCTTTTCCATGAGTGTTATATAAATTAAAAAACATTATATATATGTGTGTAGATATGTATACCTATGCATATATACATATATATAGTATATATATATATATATGACTGTGTGTGTGTGTGTGTGTGTGTGTGTGTGTGTGTGTGTG